AGAGGGAGAAGCAGGCTCCCCGCGGAGCAAGGAGCCTGATGCGGGACTCGATCCCGGGACTCCAGGATCGTGACCGGAGCCGAAGGCAGTCCCTTAACCAACTGAGCCACCCAGGCGCCCCCAACAACATCCACTTCTTATAAACACAAGCTATCTTCTTTCTCATTTAGAAAAGTATGTGTCTGGCCAACAGACATAAATTTCTTGTGGATTCCATTCCAGATATGTTTCGCACCTTTTATTGCCAAGTATATTTTTCATATCAAAGTTATATTTGCAGGCTCTATAAAACTTAATTTAGTGCTATTCTAGAAAAAGTAAGTTACTTTAGAAGGCATTTTACCATTTTTAAATAAACAAACAAAAATCTTTTTTTTTCCAAGGCTCACGGATTCCAGTTAATCTTTTTCTTTTTAAAGATTTTATTTATTAGAGAGAGAGCACAAGCAGGGGAGAAGCAGGCAGAGGGAGAGGGGGAAGCAGGCTTCCCCCCCGAACAGGGAGCCCGATGTGGGACTTGATCCTAGGACTCAGGGATCATGACCCCAGCCACAGGCAGATGCTTAAACAACTGGGCCACCCAGGCATGGTTAATCATTTTTAATAAAAATGCAAACTTTTCATAAAATCACATATAAGTTTACTGTTCAGAACTTTCCTTGTAACACAGTCTTCATTTTTACCCTCCCCCCCCACAATATGGTGAGGCTTTTGTATTGATAAATGCTGTTTTAATCTTGTTTTAATTAAATTAATTAGTTAATATAATAATAAATGCTCACAATTTATGGTTCACAGTTAGCTAATTTTTCTTTCTGAAGATATAATTGATAAAATAGCTTAAAGTTTGATTTCAGAACTCTAATTTTGGATTTAAGCATTTATTGAGTTTTTACTTTGAGACATTGATAGGTATGAGATTATAATAATATGTAAGATAAAAATCCTTTCTATTAGAAACTTACAGTGTCTAGTTGTAATATTATTATTAAAGTATTGTTCAATTAAAATAAGGGAGGGGTAACTTTTTTACCTTTTTGCATGTTATTTTAAAGATGAATTTAGTTTAAATATTTTTTCCCTTTCTACCCACTATTGAAAAATTTTAGTGCAAATATTCAGACTCATTTTTATTACTGTGCTCTTTCATCTATGCTTCCTGGATCTGAGATCAGCATGTTTATCTGCTCCATTTTCCCCTTTGTAATGTTAGTACAGTAAGTTAAGAAATGTTATATTATTTGTACAAAAATACAGACTTTTTAAGTCTTTTTTCTATTTCTCTTGCCCTTATAGGAAGACAGAGTCTATGATTCAAAAAAATGTTGCTATACATGTAAGTAGTATTAAGCTCCACATGTAGAGGAAATGTCAACTGTTGACAAAAATTTAGTGTTTGTTTAAAACAAAATGGCAGATCATTAATAGAAAGCCTCCTATGTTTTTAACATAACAGGTTATCTAACCCATATGTATAAACTAATAGATACTGGTACATAACGTAGTTACTTTTCATGTTGGTTGAAACATTCTTCCCAGTAAAAACCAATGATGTTTATAAGAGAGAAATTTAATTTTCATGAAAAAAAAATGTAGCTTGCTCTCCTAATGTCAGCAGGTTGTGTTGTAAATTGATATATTAGATCATTAGGATGATCAAAAAGGAGAAATGGATGTCAAAAACAATCAATTCCCTTCATCTTCCCTTCCCTCCCCCTTCTTCCCTCCTCCTTTCTCCCTTGTCCCCTCCCTCCTCCTCCTCCTATGATAGGAATGATAGCAATAATAAAAAGATAACATTTATTAAAGGCAATTATTGAATATTAACTGGGTACCTTGTGCTGGGTGCTGAGGCAGTTAATTCCTTCAACAATGCTGTGAAGTATTTTTTTGTTGTTATTCTCTACTTAAGGTTAAGAAAACTGAGACTTAGCAATTGTTAATATTAAACTTCATTTGTGACTCTGTTATCCATTTTGTTTTAGGTAAGACTAATTGTAGATCTTCACCCGTGAATGTGAATATTAAGTACAATGGTTGCCAGAAAAGAATCAAGATGACAAGATGTCTAGGGGAATGCAAGAAGACTGTCCAGTGAGTTTTTCTTTAAATGTGTACTGTGCATTAATTTTGTAACATTGTGGAGGAAATTAAGCTTTTAAAACATTACATGGAACATTTTTTACATGACAGCTAATGATCAAGACCTGATAAAACAAATATCTAAAATATTAAGATCTGACAAATAAACATTTTCAACAGTGATGAATCATTTTAAAGTAGTTTTCTAAATAAAACAAACATAATATGTTCATGACAAATGTATTTATTTTCACACAGTGATTACCCTTAAGCAAGTACTCTTGCTAAAAGTGTGTTTCTAAACCATCACTTGCATGTTAGACATAATATATATATTTTTTCCTTCATGGACACTTTCATGTACAGATTAACATATAGAGAATAATAATTTGGCATGAAATTTAAGAATATGTTTATATTTCTGCACCATAATGCTCTAATTATGAGCTTTTACATTTCCATTTTGGATTTATTTATTTTGGTCTTACATACTAATATCACTGATCCACATCAGAAGTTCATGATGAGGGGGAAATGCAAGGTGTAGGAAAAGAATAAATTGGTTGGAAGGATTGCTAAATCACTTCGACAATTATAATTTGAGCACTGATGTCAATTTGCTTCAGAAGATATCCCAAAAATATTTATTGCTGAATTTTGTTTTCCTTAGGTACAATTATACACTCTTTAAATTGACAAATTCATGCCTTTGCTGCCAAGAAGATAACTACGAGTTCCGAGAAGTTGCTCTTAACTGTCCTGATGGCAGTACAATACCCTACAGATATAGGCACGTCACAACGTGTTCTTGCTTAGACATGTGCCAACAATCTGTAACCCCACCAGTCGGTTAACACTATTATAACCTTTCCGGGTAGAACAAGCCAGCTATTTATTTTTTAATTGAACAAAAATGATCACTAAAGAGAATAACTAAACATTTGTATCTCACTCAAAAAGTGAGTTCTCATTATGAGGCATTTTTTTCTCTTGTTGACTGGATCTGAAAAATAAATACAACTTTGCAAGCAATTATTGAGCATATGTTTTTATTGATAGCCATAAGAATGCTACACCTCAAGGAGAAACTTGAGTCATATCATGGCTTTCCAATATATTCTTCTACTCTTTATCTTGTGAGGACATTATCCTCTTTCGTCCTTTCCCTTCACAGCTAGACTTATTGAAACTAAGGTTTTGTTCTCTTTCCTCACTTTTCTATGCCAATTACATCACCCCTTTCATTCTATGACAACTTCTCTTCTTAGAACACCAACTTCTCTTCTTAGAACGCCTTATAATTCTTGAAGTAGGGTCTGATGCCATTTTCACTCTTTCTTTCTTGAAACATTTTTCTTGCTGTTTCTGTGGCATCATTTTTAATAGTGTTCCTACATTTGTGGACACCTTCGCTGTTGTCAGTCCTTGAGATCTCAGTTCTCCAAAGTTCCATCCTGTTTATCTTCTCATATTACTCAGGCTCCTTGGATGATTTCACTGACACAGGTAGATGTGTTTATATACTGAGGATTTCCAATCTGTGTCTCTAACCCCAAGCTCTTCTCTGAGTTACAGACACATTGATACAACTCTGAATTTACACCTATAACTGGATGTTCTATAGCTACCACAAACTTGATAAGACTAAAAGTGAACTGAAGGTCACTCCCCCAGCCCACTTCTCTCCTTGTATTTTGTACACGTTGAGGTAGTTAGCTAAAAGGAGAAGCTGAGTTTCAATAACGTCATGACTGTCATCTTCAGTGTATTCTACTACTTTGCTGCCCACATACATACTTCTTCCTATACATATATTTCTAAATGTGCTTTGTACAAAATTATTTACATAAATAAAAATGTACAATTATTAACACTTGCCCAACCTAATTTATCATAACCCTTTTATGTACTACTCACCTTTCTATGTAACTTAGACTAGTGGTAAATTTAACATTCATTAAATACTATGCCCAGTGGTAGGGAAAGAAAATTCGTATGTTAGTATATTGGTAACTACCAACAAAAGATGAATAATATCTAAACACAGGTGTATATTACCCGTATCACTTCTATAGTTGGTCCCAAGGCTCTTGATTTTCCTTCATGTCTGTCACTCATTCCAGCTTTTTTTCCTCTCAGGCTGTACCAGAGTTTGTCAGCTGGAAAAATTATGAGGGATTTAAGCCCTTGAAAATCCAATTGGATGAAGTTGTAGAAGTTTTTCAATGCCTTTTACCTCAGGGAATGATAAAACATAGAGTCAACAACACACTTACATCTCAGCCCTTGCTGTGTGATAGTACCTCTATTTTCCCTTGATAGTCAGAACTGATCATCTCAGACAATATGATAGCCTTTTCTGCTTAGGAATGCTCCTCTAGGGTCACAAAAGGGAGTTTCAGCAAATGGAAGAGAATGTAAACATTGACTCATGGTTTAGCTAATATCACCTCCTGCAGTCAGCACACGAAACTTGCTAGAAAATTAGGGGGGGGGTAATACCCCTCAACTGGTGTCAGAGTAGAATTCTCAATAGGCCAATCCTTCGAGATTTACTATCCATGAATAATAAGGAATTATAATTCATGCAACATGTACCTATTGCCTTTGTTTTTTGTGTTTTTTTGAAACAAATTCCTTGGTTGGAAGAAGTGCTGTGCAGGATTTTGTGGTAGTGAATAAAATACTCAATAAGCCTATGGATAGCAGTACTTTCTGAGGCATATTGAACATAAAAGGAAAATCAAAATCAATAGCAGTTTATATCAGAAAAAACAAACAAACAAATATTGTCCTCTCCCCAAAAGAAAAAGATCAAAGTTATTCACTTGTTACCAGGTGGGTTACTGGCACCCATGGTGATGCCAAAAGACAGATCACTTTATTTTCAGCATTCTGGTATTCATACTGGCTTCAGGAAAGCAAATTTAGGCTTTTGAGCCCATGTATGACCTCTACCCTTCCCTAATTGCTACCTTATTCCTGAACCTCATTTAGCAACTACTAGGTAGGATGGGAAAGATTTACTGACAAGCACAGATGTGACAACTACAGTTAATACATACTGTTAATTACCTGATTCTCCCATGAAAATTCTTGGTGGGGAACCTCTGGTAAGCACACACTTATTTATGTTCAGACCTGGATCAATTCTGGGTGACTCAAATGATTTTTCTAAATGTTCTTTGTGTCATTCTCCAATTTGTATCTCACTCAAAAAGTGAATTCTAATTATGAGGCATTTTGTTCTCATGGTGACTGAATCTGAAAAATAAATTCAACTTTGCAAGCAATTAGTGAGCATATATATTTATTTGATAGCAATAAGAATTCCACATGTCAAGGAGATACTGAATATCATGGCTCTCCAATATACTCTTCTACTCTTCATCTCATGAGGTCATTATCTTGTTTCATTTCTTCCCTTGGTTATTTATACAAATTATTTGCTACTTCTAGGGAGTCAGTGTAAATCTTGACTTCAAGCCAACCTTCTACCAAGCACAATGACCAATGAGAAATTTCCTCCCCAGTTGTCTTTTTTGACCATGCCTGAGAAAAACTATAGTGCCACACAGCTCACTTTTCACTGATAACTGGGGCCATTGGTAATGTGGTCTTGGGGTCATTGGTAATCCAGCTTTGAGTCTTATCCTTTTGTGTCAACTGGTCATTAGAAAGTTCCCCCTTCAAGCAAAAGGCATAAATTTAAAAAAGAGGTGGCAGTCAAGTAGGAGGAATCACATTTTCAGGCATTAAGAAACCATCCATTGATCTTTTACCTTTGAGACCTTAATGGGGGCAGGGGTTCCATTCTATATATATGACTTCAAATGGATAGTAGATTGCTGCTAGAAATGCCTAACTTCATGGCTATATAAATAAGATAATGCCCAGTCCAGAATGAGTAGCTTTCGTTCATGGTTGGCTGTTATTGCCAGAGGCCAGTAAAAAGCTAGTTTTTGTTGAAAATAGAATAGTTGCTCCAAAAAATGGTGTGGCCTTGCTCCAAAAGCCTCCCCGTGTTCATTGCAGCATTATTCACAAAAGCATAGATTTGGAAACAACCTAAGCGTCTTTTGACAGATGAATGGATAAAGAAAAAGTGGTATATGTATACAATAAAATACAAAATATGATTCAGCCTTAAAAAAGAAGAAATCTTGCCCTTTGTGGCAACATGGGTAAAACTGGAAGGCATAATGCTAAGATAACTTAGCCAGACAAAGAAATATAATGTATGGTATCACTTGTATGTGGAATCTGGAAAAAAAAAAAGGGTGGAACTTATAGAAACAGAGTAGAAAATGGCTGTCAGGGATGGGTAATTAGGGATATAGAGAGAGGTTGGTAAATGGGTACAAACTTTCAGTTAAGAGATGAGTAAGATCTGAAGATTTGATGTATAGCTTGGTGGCTATAGTTGATAGCACTATATTGTATTATTGAAATCAGAGGGGGAGACGAACCATGAGAGACTATGGACTCTGAGAAACAAACTGAGGGTTCTAGAGGGGAGGGGGGTGGGGGGATGGGTTAGCCTGGTGATAGGTATTAAAGAGGGCAGTACTGAATGGAGCACTGGGTGTTATACGCAAACAATGAATCATGGAACACTACATCAAAAACTAGCGATGTAATGTAAGGTGATTAACACAACATAATAAAATTTAAAAATATATATTAAGGGATTAGAACTTAAATCCCTCACCAAAAAGAAAAAAAAAAGGTAAAATGTAAATACGTAGGTGACGGATATGTTAATTAACTTGATGGGGGGATCCTTTCATAATGTATACATACACAAAATCATTGTGTTGTACACTTTAAATATCCTACAATTTTATTTGTCAATTATACCTCAATAAAGCTGAAAATTTTTCAGTGTACATATTTAATGTATACAAATCAATGAATTTGGTGAAAAGTATACACCTATGAAACCATCACTACCATGAAGGCAGTAAATATATCCATCACTTTCCA